AGAATAAATAAAAGATATTGGTATAAGGCTCAAAAAAATGGAGGTTTGAGTATTCCTAATATAAAAAATTATTATATAGCGAATCAGTTAAGATTTATTGGAGATATTATATACAACAAAGGATGGTAAATTTGGTGGGATATGGAATCCTCAGAAATAAATGGGAATGTTGAAAAATATTTGTTTAATGTAGTAAAAAGAAATACAATAAAGGTGAAAACCCCTTTTTAAAGAAACGTGTTAAATATATGGAACAGAAATAAAAAGATGTTATGTCCCTTTACTTCACCACTAAAATTAGTGACTGAAATAGAAAATTTCCCCGCAAACATGAAGGGTTTAGCTGATTTGTTTAAGGACAAAAAAAAGTTGCCAGATTGATGGATTGGATGATTAAAATGAGATTGAAGGATCAGATTATAGTTAAAATTCAAACTAATATCATGGTATAATTATATTCAATTAGATAGTTGGACAAATAAATGCTTGAAAACTAATGGCAAATGTAGAGAATGTACTAAGTACAAATAATTTCTATAATCACATGAAGACATGCAGAAAGATGCTTTGAGGAAGGGAGTAGTAAGGAGAATTTATAACCTAATTTTGGAACAAGAGGAAAAAGAGACTGAAACAGAAGGTTTGAAATCAATTTGGGAAAATTATTTCAAGACAGAAATTAAAATAGGGGATTGGACAAACATTTCGAAGATGAGAGTTTTAAGATTAATGTCAGTAAGAATAAAGAAATTTTTAAAAAAATTAGTTTAAAGTGGTATATGACTCTGGTGAAACTGAATATAATAAATTCAGACTATTCTAAGGCCTGTTGGAAATGTGATGAAGAAATAGCATGTATTATCATATGTGGTGTGTGTATAAATGGATTCAGAAATTTTGGAAACTGGTTTTTAAAGAAATATGTGATATATTTGGAAAAGAGATTGAATTGAATTCTAAAATTGCTTTGTTGTCAATTTTTGATAAGATAGAACTTGATTATTGTTCAAAGGAATTGATTTCCAATTTTATGACAAGTGCTAGAATATTAATAGCTAGATTCTGGAAAGATAAAAAAGATATTAAATTAGAAAATTGATATAATGAAGTATGGGACATTGCACTAAATGAGAAATTGACTACTAAACTTAAGATGAAAAGAGGGGAAATAAATTCAAATATTTTTATGCTATATGGGGTAGAATTATTTAATTCATATTAGTGAAAGGAAAGGGGAAAGCCTCTAAACAACAATAATACAATTTTTGAAAGGAGGTTCGTATTAAAAATATTGCTCCAAAGGGTCCCATGGATATGGGGGTGCACTGTGGTTTAGATTGTACTAGTAAGTATTTTGTATCCTTGGATTTGTTTTGGAAATTTAAAAAATAAATTTTAAGAAATTGGATATCTTTTTTAAAAACTAGAAAAGCTCCTTACATCTTTTAGTGGCCAGACACTCATTCCTTTTTAAATCATTAAGAAGTGTGTGTGTGGGAGGGGGGAGGTTGGTGTAAAAATGGCAAAATTATCTCTGCAACCCCTGGAAGGCACAAAGGGAATTTTTGTGTCAGTTTTCTCCCCATAAAATGCATTGGACTCTACGGGGGTTGCCAGGGGCCACAGATGATGGTTAGGTGCGAGCAGGAACCCCAGATGATGTTTGTAGTGAATGTGACCTATGCAGTATTGTCCACCCCAGTCTACACAGGACATTATTGTCCCCTCCTCCTTCTTCAGAGGCCAAACAGGTACCTACCATTTAAATGGTAACATTTTCAATCTGGATTAAACAGAATAGGCTTTCACCACCAGTATTGCTATGGTATGCACCGTCACAGTTGCTCATCAAGGCTCTTCCCTCCTCACTTTTCTTTCCCTTCAGGTGGCTAACTTACTGCGACTGTTCCAGATCCCTCAGATCAGCTATGCCTCCACCAGTGCCAAGCTCAGTGACAAGACTCGCTATGATTACTTTGCTCGCACCGTCCCACCAGACTTCTATCAGGCGAAGGCTATGTCTGAGATCCTGCGGTTCTTCAACTGGACCTACGTTTCCACAGTAGCCTCAGAAGGTGACTATGGAGAAACAGGCATCGAAGCTTTTGAACTGCAAGCCCGGGCCCGCAACATCTGCATTGCCACCTCTGAAAAAGTGGGCCGATCCATGAACAAGAAGACTTTTGATGGGGTGATTAAGGCACTCTTGCAGAAGCCCAGTGCAAGAGTGGTGGTTCTGTTCACCCGAAGTGAAGATGCCCGGGAACTTTTGGCAGCTGCTCAGAGGATCAATGTGTCCTTCACCTGGGTGGCCAGTGATGGCTGGGGTGCCCTTGAGAGCGTAGTGGCGGGTAGTGAGCCAGTAGCTGATGGGGCCATCACTATTGAACTGGCATCCTATCCGATACAAGAGTTTGCCGTCTATTTCCGGAACCTAGATCCCTACAACAACAGCCGAAATCCTTGGTTTCGGGAGTTCTGGGAACACAAGTTTCAGTGCAGCTTCCACCACCAAAACTGTAGCCACTTCTCCTTGAAGACAGGCAAGTTTGAGCAGGAATCTAAGATTATGTTTGTCGTCAACGCAGTCTATGCAATGGCACATGCCCTTCATAACATGTATCAAGCTCTCTGCCCCAACGCCACCAAGCTTTGTGACTCCATGAAGCCGGTAAATGGCAAGAAGTTCTACAAGGAGTTCATGCTCAATGTGACCTTTGATGGTAAGCCATGGGAGTGGTTTGGAAAGTGCAAAGACCTGGGATGTGATCAAAAGGAAATACTAGATGGGGGCAGATATAGAAAGCAAGGTTTTGGCCTCAGTTTAAGGTGGTTGGCAAGACCCCAGCACTGCTTTTTATATCATGTGGGTAAAATAAATGTTTTCCAATGTAATTACAGTACATTCATGAGAAAACTTCATTAGTTGAATTTCCCCCTTTTGTTCCTGGGCTACCTATGTTAGGGTGCGAATATACTGCAACGGAAATATGAACTCACTTGCTTTCATCTTCTGTGGAGTTGCTCAGGGGAATATAGATTTCCCAGGTCTGTTTGCATGAAGTGGCCACACAGGGAGAGAGGGAGAAAGCCTTGTGTGCAGCTTGTTTGCAGATCTCTTGTAGTCCTCCAAGAGGAATAGTTACAAGGAAACTACCTAATCAGTTGTAAACATTGGTTTCCACCTTTCATTTTCTCCTCTTGTAATCGTTTTGCAGGGGGTATCTAGGTGGCCTAATACAATAGTAATAGTCCCAGGCTTTTAAAAAAAAGAAAAAGTGGGGGAAAGGAGAGAGAAAGAGATCTTGCTAACAGAGAGAAGTCCTCTAAATTGTTCTCATGTAAACAATGCTTTCAGAGAAACATGTTCCCCCATGGTTAGCTTTGCTCACCATTCCTATGAGTGTGTGCTGGTGCGGCAGCTTTTCTGAATCAGTTCAAGCAATCACACTGCCTAAACACATGTGAAAGCATCTGTTTTTCAAAATGTGGAAGCCCTAGTGGTGGAGGAAAAACTATGGGTTGGGGAGGAAAAACTCTGGCTGATTCACATTTCCTTTTGTGCACTGTGGTCAACAGGAAAAAAAAATCAGCCCAACCCAACCCTGGAGCATTTCCCACATTTTTAACCAACTGTGCCACACCCTTAGATACATAGTTTTCAGAACAACAAAAACAAAATCATTGCTGCATCTTTAATTCCATTGCTTCTTGTGCTAGTACAGAGCGAGCTGTAGTTTTGCTAGGTGAGACTTATCTTGAGATTTGATGGCATACAGATCAACTCTTTCAAAAAAGGTATAGAGGCTATATTGCACAGATACAAAGGCTCTGATGAGTGGCTGCAAGTGGCCATCAGCTTTTCTGGGTGCACCCCACACTTTTCTAATATAATGTGTGCATGGGCTGTGTTCATGCTGAGATATGACTGGAGAGAAAGCAACTATGAATGCATGTGTGAACAGAGCACATATACCTATGGAGCCCTTCTCCCTTCCCCTCTGCCATCAGATGCAGTCCTTGGAGTGGAAGACATTGTGAGCCAATGTTTGTAGAGTGCTTCCTTTCCTGCTGCACACATCTAATTCACTCCTTAATTTGGTCCTGATCAATGAAAGGAGGTGCATGAGATACTTATTTCAAAAACTTTCCTTTTACTAAAATGAAAATACAATTATATAGCTACAAGCTTGCTCTTATATTGTGGTTGTTCTCTGGTGAGTCCCTTGATGGCAAAATGACAGTACTGAAAGCAAAAGTAACAGAAAATACAGACCCATAAGGCATGCTGAAGCAACCATAACATTTGCAATTGACACCACAGAAAGGCAAAACATCTTAGTTTGCTCTGGTGCACTTATAAACTACTGACTTCACAATTCATTTTGATTTAATTAATGAAGCAAATATTTGCTTTAAATATGTATGCTAGTGAAATGTTTTCTACCCCAATATTTCTTTTTCTTGTTGATTTCTTTTGTCAGTGTGGGAAAGAAAAAAAAACAGTTTTCTTTTCAAAGCATGCTAACTCTTTGTAGCTAATTCTCTGTAGAGATGCCTGAGGAAGCAGATTGGCAGATATTTGCAGAGCCAGATTCAGTTAAGTGTGGATATCTGGTGTTGTAACCATGCATGCCTCTATAATTTTAATTGGGATTTCTGTATTCTGCTTCCCAGCTCCATTTCGACCATCCTTAGACACCAAAAGTACTGTCCGGTTTGATCTCTGTGGGGATGGCATCGGTCGCTACAATATCTTCAACTACCACAAAGCCAATGGGAGGTACCGTTATCAGAAAGTGGGCTACTGGGCCGAAGGGCTCATTCTAAACACAAGCCGCATCCCCTGGGTGAAGACCTCCATCCCGGTTTCCCAGTGCAGTGACCCCTGCAAGAAGAATGAAATGAAGAGCATGCAGCCTGGGGACATGTGCTGCTGGATATGCATCCCTTGCCAGCCTTACGAGTACTTGCTGGATGAGCTCACTTGCCGAGACTGTGGTCTTGGCTACTGGCCCAATGAGACACTAAACGGGTGCTATGAGCTACCCCAAGAATACATTCGCTGGAAGGATGTCTGGGCTATTGGGCCGGTCACTATTTCTTGCCTCGGTTTCCTCTCCACTCTGTTTGTCTTTGGGGTCTTTGTTAAGAATAATGACACCCCCATTGTGAAGGCCTCTGGTCGTGAACTGTGTTACATCCTGCTCACTGGAGTATTGATGTGCTACAGCATGACTTTCATCTTCATTGCCAAGCCCTCTACAGTGGTGTGTACTTTGCGTCGGCTAGGCCTGGGCACCTCCTTCGCTGTCTGCTACTCTGCCCTCTTGACCAAGACAAACCGCATTGCTCGGATCTTCAGTGGGGTGAAAGAGGGGGTGCAGCGCCCACGATTCATAAGTCCCACCTCACAGGTGGTCATCTGCATGGCTCTTATTTCTTGCCAGCTAATTATTGTTGTCATCTGGCTCATGGTGGAGACTCCTGGCACACGAAAGGAGACGGAGCCTGACAAAAGATACATCGTCACCCTGAAGTGCAACAATCGGGACTCAAGTATGCTAATTTCGCTTACTTATAATGTTCTCTTGATCGTTTTATGTACGGTCTATGCCTTCAAGACTAGGAAATGCCCTGAAAACTTCAACGAGGCCAAGTTCATTGGGTTCACCATGTATACCACATGCATCATATGGTTAGCCTTCCTGCCCATCTTCTATGTCACCTCCAGTGATTATCGGGTGAGTAACCTCTTGCCCTCGATGAAAGGGGATCCTGTTTTATAGCAGTCAGTGTTGAGAAACCTGCTCCCACTGGTGAGGTAGAACAAGCACAAAAACAACAGAATGTGTCAGTAGAAGACCAGTATCTCAGAGCTTAATTGTTGCTGTATTGTTCACAGAAGGGGAGAGCAGACATAGGGTTTGTGGGATCTAGTTAATTGCCTGTTCTACCAACAAAAAGAGATATGCTTAGTGATAAGAAATCCTAAGGGATTCATTTTTAGTTGCAGAAAATAAATGCTGTCATTTCTTTACTAAAAACCAAGAGGAGGATTTCCTTGCCAAGCTAAAGTGAATCTACTTGTTGACCACTATCTACCTACTGTTGACTTCCTAAATAGACAATATAAATATAAAGGAAAGGAAAGCTAGGTGTCCCTCTTTTTTTTCTGGTGAGCCTCTGTTCTCAGGAGAGACCTCCTCACCATTACCCCAGAAAGCTTGAGAAACGTATTTTCCCACTTTTTCTGCCCTCCCTCCCCAGGATTTCACATCTCTATTTGATCGTGGTATCTGTTGTGAATTTACTGTAGCTGTTGTGAAACTGTAGTTGTTGTGAATTTAAATGCAGGTTTAGGGACCACTGTGGATATTAAGCAGTGCCTGCTGTGTCTTGCAGTAGGTAATTAAAGCATATGAAAATATCAGGGGGAAAAGAAGAATGACATAGGCAGTTTCTCAGTTGCTTTTACTCCAGCATCAGTTAACTTCACTGGCAACTGTTTCTTCTTGATCAGCAATCTCACATTCCTATTCCATTACTGAATACCTCAGAGAAAGCTGGCACAGACATCTCAGAGTAGTACACTTGGACTTACTCCCTGCAGGCATGCACAGATGATCTGTGTATTCTCTAAAATCTTGCTGTTTTGTGTATTATGCTTTGTATCCAGTGGTGTCTTTCCGCCTAACAGAGAGCTGTCAGATCCATTGGTGGCTAACATCAACAGAAAGGGGTGTGGGGCAATATTTGGCAATACCCACCTCTGCGCACTCATGCCCACTATGCTTGTGCCTTCTGCCATGTTGTTCCAAGGTAAAGGTAAAGGTTCCCCTTGACAATTTTTGTCCAGTCGTGTTCGACTCTAGGAGGCGGTGCTCATCCCCGTTTCCAAGCCATAGAGCCAGCGTTTGTCCGAAGACAATCTTCCGTGGTCACATGGCCAGTGCGACTTAGACATGGAACGCTGTTACCTTCCCACCAAAATGGTCCCTATGTATCTACTTGCATTTGCATGCTTTCGAACCGCTAGGTTGGCGGGAGCTGGGACAAGCGACAGGAGCTCACTCCGTCGCGTGGATTCGATCTTACAACTGCTTGGTCTTCTGACCCTGCAGCACAGGCTTCTGCCGTTTAGCCCACAGCGCCACCATGTCCCTATATGTTGTTCCAAAGAGTTCCACAATTGTTTGAAGCCGATCAGGAAGAGTCAGCTACAGTGGAAAGAGGAATGGCCTCATTCCACTGGCTGAAGCCCACTCTGCCTGCTCCGCGGGTCTTCTGCTAGGGTCAGTGTGGTGATGCTGTTGAATACAACTTGCTGTATTTCTTGCCCTCCACACATATAGCTCTCTGTTAGCTAAGGGGGAGTTCACCGCTATTCCGGAGCAACTCATCAAGTGACTCATCTTTTTGATCCACAATTCAACTCTTATTTTTTTCCAGTGCTCTTAGGCCACTGCCCCAGCATCTCTGATTTTAGTGAAACTGATTGTCCCTTTGGTCTCCCACACTCGGCACACCTCTGGCTTGTCCTCCTGCTGTCACTCCATTCCTGCTACAACACCTCAGACCCATCTTTCATCAAAACGTTATACCTGCCCAGTCGCCTTTTCTGCTAGAATTGCTATCCTTTATTCAGTCAAGTTTTATGTTTCATCCACTGATAGGTAAATTACACTGATTCTGTTCCAGCTCAATCCAGACCTCCTTCAGAAGACTGGATTTGTGGCATTTTGCAAAGGAAAATCAATATAATCACAGCATTAGCCTGTCCATGAGATAAAGAGGAGTTTGAAAGGAATACATTAACGATAATGTCACTCTCTGCTTTAAAAAAATAATAACGAGGACCAATGTCATTACTTTTAAATGCTGAAGAAAATCCAGGCAAACATCAGTGTTTGGGTATATTTTTATTTAGAATACTAAGTAACATTTATTCATTGCTGAGAAAACATTATTCTCAAAGGAAGAGGTTATTTTTAAGTGGCTTTTAAAAAATATATATATAATTGACAGGAAAGCATCCCTGCATTACAATTGCAATAATGAATAATGTGTCCCTTCTAAAACTTATTGACTAATGAGCGCTCCCTTGCTTTTAAAGCAAATTGTTGAAGTAACAATTCCAAGATCTAAAGGAAAGTGTTGTTGAGTTATTTAAGGTCTCTTGTCATGTATCTTTAATTAAACACCTCCAGTATTTGTAGCTTTAGCTTATGTTATTGCTATCTCAGCAGGAGTTATGAGTACCTAATTAATTGTCCCTTTAATAATATTTTTAATTGCCTTGGATAAATTTCTGTCCCTGTCTCTTATGGTGATTATGGTAATGGCTTTTCGTTTTCTGTTCTGAAATGGTGCTATTTCAAGAAAAGGGGTGGGGGTGGGGAATCATAAATAGAAGATATTGATTGTAAAGCTTCTCCACACACTGTACCACCAGATACTGGTACATCTTAGAGAGACTAATCAAGCAGTTAGTTATCAGACCTAATTAATTAATTGCACGCCATCATGCTGATTCCAGCTTATGATGATCTTTTCTAGGGTTTCCTTGGTGTAAGAGTACTCAGAAATAGTTTCCCATTCCATTCTTCTGGGGGCAAGCTTGGACTGTAGCTTACCGAAGGCTTCACAAGCAAGGTCTCATGGTGGAGAACTGAACTCGCAGCCTCTGGCTCTGCAGTACCCAGTTCAGCGAGCTATCCACCCAGTTACTTTTAATCCAGTGACCATCAAGATTCAGTTATAATTTCCAGGACACTTTATTGAAGGGACCTATCAATGATTAAACAAATCTGGAAGTTGAGTCATGGCAACTTATTGAAGGGACCTATCAATGATTAAACATCAGAGGAAAATCTGGAAGTTGAGTCATGGCAAATTTTCAGATAACCTCACTTGGATGACTGAGAATGTTCACAGATATTATAGGAAAATCTTGGCTCAGGATATAGCCATTGCTGCATAATATAGCCCTTTATTAAAGGGCTATGTGGAACTTTAGTTTGAATTCTATTTTAAGTTAATTACCAAAAAAAATGCTATATCAATGGGCTCTAGCATAGAAGCAAACCTAGTCTTCTGTCACATGTCCCCATTCTTGGCTCATCCCTGTTCAACAAAATTCGACTCCAGGACATCATCCAACTTCTGTTTCTTTCCTCTTTCTGGGAATATTTTTGAACACTAACTGACAGAGCATGATGCACAGCACCCACAATGTTGGTGTAATTGTGATAGCAGCAAACTTTTCATGACAGAATTAGGTGGACTCAAACATATTTTTATTTGTTTTTCTTACCTGTTCTGGCCTGAATCTGCAAGACACTTCTTTCAGATTTGGCTATAGTCCTTTCTTTTTCTTTTTTCTTTTGGCTTAAAACAGTGGTTCTCAACCTTTGGCCTTTCAACCATTTTGGACTCCAACTCTCAAAATCCCAAACAGCATGGCCAGTTTTGAGGGATCCTCAAGTCTAAAACAGCTGGAAGACCAAAGGCTGAGAACCACTGTCCTAAAGTTTCTGGAAGTTGAGTCATGGCAACTGGACTTCTTTCTTGTTAGGTTGAAATATTTCATTACTCATCCAAGTAGCGTCTTCAGTCTGAGGAGAGTTGGTAGGATGAAATACTTGGATGAGTAGTAAAACATTTCAGCCTAACAAGAAAGAAGTCCAGTTGCCATGACTCACCTTCCAGATAACCTCACCTGGATGACTGAGTATCTTCATAAATACACTGGCCTAAAGGTTGATGGCTCATGTTTACATATGCCTGTGGACATGAATCATGGTCTCTGTTGTTGCTGGGGGTCAGATTTTTTTTAGTAGATGGTTTGCTGCCTGGGTTCTGAGAAATAGGTAATGTCCCTAAAATAGAAGATTTCAAATAGAAGATACCTGGATCATGTTTAACAAATACACAACAATGCAATGCCCAGCAGGATGAGATCACATGCTGCTTCTCCCCCTCCCTGTTTGATGAATAACTGAATATCTATTAACTTATCGTATTTTACATACATCCATACAGTACATACTGTTTTGCTTTATAACTGATCAGGCGGTATGCAAGAGCATAAATTAAACCAGTCTTAAAAATAATGTTTGAAATCTAATGTGAGTGTGTATAAGAGTAATAAAATATTAAAATAAGCATTCTCAATTTTTTTTAACAAGATGTGAAATTAACTTGAGGGACTTGTGAAGCAGGCAATAAGTTCCATCTTTCCATGGCTTGTTTAACAAATTTAGTGATCCTACTATAAGATATACAGTAGTCTGTGCCAGCTAGGAGGAATAAAACTATATATAAAGGGGAAGTGTTCTTCATCCCGATCGTTAAGTAAAATACTGACTTCAGTGTTCCGTGGATAATTTTTCAAACATTCTTCTAGAAGTTTGCAGGTAGCACAAAACCAGTAGCCTGTATGAAAGAGGAACTTGGTATGATTCAAGTGGTTCCCCACCCCACCCAGTATATCTGTAGTGTATCTCTATTTTGAACCAGAATAAGAAGGTTTTTGTTCTATTGCAGCAAGAACAGGCCTTCTGGCACTTTTAAAGACCAAGACAACTGTAACCTTGAAAGTTCATTTTATTTTATCTTGGTAGCACAATGTGCCCTGTCGTTTGTTCTAAAAGCCCAATGTGTTGAATATTAGACCACCTAAACTTCTTGCCAGTCCAGGGCCTGTTCCTCACTTTTCTGTGTAGAGTCCATGTGGTTGGCA